TAATCAATATATAAAAAGTTTTTCAAATGTTTATTGACACTTTTCTTGTTTCCCGTCGATATTTTTGTTTTTGTTTTAAATAAATAAAATAAAATCAATATTCGAAAAGAAAACATATTTTTTTGAAAAAAGTGATGAAATACATATAAATTATTTCATTTAAAAATGTTCTTAGTAAAAAAAAAAAAAAAGTCTTCTAATCTTCTATTTACTCAATAAGATTTCCGATAATAGTCTTAAACAATATTTTATTGCATTTTTTAACTAAATATAAAAAAGAAAAAAACTAATCAATATATATATATTCTCAATAAAAATTCTCGTATAAAGAAATTCAATATTTATTCTTAAATGATATATTTTTAAAAAAAGTACTTTTAAAAAAAGCTAATCAATATATTATTTTATAAATTTCAATGAAAATAAATAATAGATTCTGTTTCAACTATATGTATATAAATTATCATTGATAAAAGAGATGTTACTTAATTCTACATACGAAGTTTTTTAGGTCTCAAATAAGTATGTCGAACGTCGATTGGTTTTGTTTTCTTTGTTTTGTTCTCCTGTTTTTTTTTTTGAGTAAGATATAATATTGTTTTAATGCAAAAAAGAAAACAAACGAGAAGATATTTTCGATATTTGTTGTTTTATTTGTTCGAAGAGTTGAATTTAATTCGAAAGATTGTTTATTTAGTTATTGAAAAACAAATTCGTTTCGTTTTATTTAATAATTATTAATAAAAATTGAATGATTGGTTTATTTATCAGAACGAATTAAAAATTACAAAAAAATTTTCTTGCTTATTTATTATATTTTATATATATAAAAAATTTATTGAAATATATTTAATGAATAAATAAAATTAAATATGATAAATATAAAAAAGTGTATTTTATTTCTATTGATATTATATCGTTTATCATTGAGTGATATAAATGTGTCAATTGATAATAAAAAAGCTGAATATAATATAATAATTAATAATCAAATATGGCTTCGTTCATCATATACACGTATATATAATAATAATCAATGGTTAACATCAAAAGATGGATCTCTTTTATTAATTGATTCATATTTAAAACAAGGTTATGATTTTATATTAGGAGAATTTAATGAAACTTTTTTTATTTATAATTTTAATTTAAATAATAAATCATCAAATGTAACAGGAAGAATTCGTCAATGGAAATCAATACCAGCAATAACATTTCATTTTGATAATAATTTAATTTATTTAAATAATGATATTCGACTTAATATCGATCAAGTTCAAACTGTTTTTCCTTCATTTTATATTGAAAAAATCGATAAAGATGATCATCGAGCTTATTTTACATTTGGAGGTATTTCAAATTTTTTCTATTTTATTTTTTTAAATAAATAAATATGTTAAATAAAGGAATGATGATGGGAGATCTTGAAAAACATGCTGGAACATGGGATTCAACAACTCGATTTATAAAAAATGGTATAAGCGGTGGTCCAATAATTATATTTAATTCAAGTGAATATGGTCATGGAGATTCAATTATTATTTCACCATTTTCACAATTTATGTCAACTTCTTTATCAATTAATATAAATATATTAGAATATGGATATATTGGTTCAATTAAATCAATACCAATTAATTCAAGTAATTCTTTAATTATTTATTATTCATCAAATGGAATAAATCAACTTATTGAACAATGGGGAATAACAATGCAAAAATCATTTAATAGAACAAATAAATATAGATTAAATGATTTAACTATTAATTATCTTGGTTATTATACAGATAATGGAGCTTATTATTATTATAATACTCAATCTAATATGACTTATGAACAAACAATAATTAATATAAAAGAAAATTTATCTATTCCAATACATTATATTCAATTAGATTCATGGTGGTATTATAAAGGTTTAGGTGATGGTGTTAAACAATGGATTGCACGTCCAAATATATTTCCAGATGGTCTTAAAGGATTAAACGATAAAATAAAGAATTTTCCATTATCATTACATAATCGATATTGGTCATCAGATACAATTTATTTAAATAAATATAATTTTATAATTGATAAATTAAATTTGAAAAGTCTTCCATTAGGTAATGATTCATTTTGGATAGATTTATTTAATAAAACATCAAAAGATATAAATATAATATTATATGAACAAGATTGGATGAATCATCAAACAATTGATTTTATTCCAATAATTGAAGATTTTTATCTCGGAAGACAATGGTTAATATCAATGGGTTATGCAGCTAATTTATTTAATATAAATATACAATATTCAATGTGTTTACCACGACATGGACTTCAAGCTTTTGAAATAAATCGTGTTACACAAGCAAGAGTATCTGATGATTATTATGTTCATATTAGAAATAAATTTGATCAATGGAATATAGGTATATCATCTATGTTAGCTAATGCTATTGGTTTAGCTCCATTTAAAGATATTTTTTGGTCAACTCAATATCAACCTGGTGCTCCTTATAAATCAATAGTCGAAGAAATTTTACCTGATAGAGAAATTTTAATATCAACACTTTCAACTGGACCAGTTGCTCTTGGTGATGGAATTAATTATGTTGATAGAGAGCGAATTATGAAATGTTGTCGTCAAGATGGTCTTATTTTAAAACCTTCAAAACCTTTAACTATGATTGATTTATTAATTAATGATTGGGCTATTAATCATGGAATTATACAAGGAGAACTTTATTCAACTAAAACAATAATGTAAGTTTATTTTTTTTACTTAAATTAAAATTAATTTTTTTATTTAGAGATGATAAAATATTTTCAATAATATTTGCATCATCAATGCGACGTAGTTATTCAATAAAACCTTCAATGATTGAATCAAGTGATGGAATTATTTGGTCATATGATAATCCATATAATATATATACATTTAATGAAAATCATCCAATTTTCGTATCTAGTCAAATTTGTAATGAGACATCATTTTGTC